GGGAGGTATAGCTCAATCTTGCCCACCAATAGGTCAAAATTTTCTTAGCAATTTAAGTTTTTGCTTCGACAATTTACTTGAATTTTTCCTTCTATATCTCTGTGTAATTTTAAATAATGTTCTACATATTAACAGGGAACAACTTGTATCTTATTGGTTACTAAGCAAGATAATTGTTTATCAATTCTGACGAAACTGGTACAAAATGAAGAGAGCAGACGCTACATTCAGGTGTTTTCTCTGTCTTGATTTTGCAAGCATTGTCAGTTTTTGTGTTTTTAAGGACATATTAACGTGGCCAAAATATTTTACCATGTCAGTGTAATCACTACCAAGAGACACTCAGATGGTCTGGGCGTGGCCCCAACTAGCATTTTCAGGCATACCAACTCTTTCTATTGCGGCTGTAACAAAAATTCTACAAACTCGGGACTTGAAACAACAGAAATGTGTGGTCTTACTGTTCTGGAGGCTAAAAGGTTGAAATTAAGATGTCAGCAGGGCCACATTCCCATGGAAGGCTCTCGCAAGGACCTTTCCTTGCCCGTTCTGGTTTCTGGTGGCTGCATCCTTCTTTGGCTTGTGGCAGCGTAACTCGAGTCTCTGCCTCCATTTCACATGGCCTTCTCTGTGTGTCCCTGGGCGTACTTTTCTCTTTGATGAGAATGATCTCATCTTAATCCTTACCTTAATCACATCTGCAAAGACCCTGTTACCAATAAAGTCACATTGTGAGGTTCCAAGTGAACATGAATTTTAGGGAACCCTATTCAACCGAGTACACCAATGACGAGAATAGGCCTTGCCATCAGATTCGGATTCAAAGTGCCAGCTTTGCCCGTCTGACCCTCTGGCCTTAGCAAGTCATGCATCTGGGTCTCAGTGTGGATCCTCATAGATAAAGTTTAATTAGGTTGCATTCAACTCTGGGAATATTAATTATATGTGTTGAAGTATTTGGATATGGCTTTAAGTATATCTAATAACATACTTTAAAACTGAGAAAAACCAAGTAGTGGGAAATGGACAACTCTTCATGATTGATTCTTTTTTAGATATTCTGAACAGTTTAATATTAAAAGTTGTGATATTCTGCCCTGGCCGGTTAGGCTCAGCGGTTAGAGCATTGGCCTGCGGACCAATGAGTCATGGATTCAATTCCGGTCAAGGGCACGTACCTCGTTTGCAGTTCGTCCCCAGCCCTGGTTGGGGTCATGAGGGAGGCAGCCACTCAATGTGCCCCTTTCACGTCAATGTTTTTTTTCTCTCTCTCTCTTTCTCTCTCTCCCTCCCACTCTACCTGAACAAAAATGGAAAGGTGTCCTCAGGTGAGGATAAAAAAATTTTTTTAAATGTGATATTCTGGTCCTGCGGTAATACAGATAGGCTACGAAAGACAGTGAATGTACTGCTGAAATACATCACTTGGAGTCAATTGGGATAATAAAATTAAAAAGAATAAATGACATTATCAGGGTCATCAAAACTGTTTTCAGCTAATCTCTCATTTCAAATCTTGTTGTGAATATATTTCCTCTAAATAATAACCAGTGTGTGCCCGCCTGTGTCCAGGGGCTGTGACCCTCAGCAGCAAGAGGACGGGTGTTGAAGGAACTCAGTGTGGATGTGAGGGGCATGTCCGAGACTTGGCCTGGTTTCAGATGGAACATTCGTTCCCATCTCAACTCACAAGCTCCCAGAGAAGCATTTGGCCCTCTTGGAATTTCTCATAACAATTCCAGCTATTCCAACTGTCACTTCCAAGCCCTGCTATTTTTCTAACAAGGGTCAGAACGCCTGGGGTACTCCTTCACTCTGAGCCCACTCCTCTGTAAAATAATAAAATAGAAAATAACCAGTGTGGAATGGTAGTGTTTTATAGTCACTTTTGTGAGCTGAATTGTGTCCCTGAAAAATTCATATGTTAAAACTCTAACCCCCAGTACCTCAGAATGTGGCCGTATTTGGAGATAAAGCCTTTAAAGAGGTAATTAAGTTAAACTGAGGTCATTAGAGTGAGCCCCCAGTATAACTGGTATCCTTATAAGAGGAGGACATTTGTATACAAACACACACACAGGCAAGACCAGGTGAAGACACAGGGAGGAGATGGCCATCTACAAGACAAGAGACCTCAAATGAAGTCAACCCTGCCAACACCTTGACCTTGGACTTTTAGTTTCTAGAATTGAGAAAATTTATCTTGTTTAAGCCACCTAGTCCGTGTTACTTCGTTATAGCAGTCCTAGCAAACTAATACATTCACCATTTATTTTTTGTGCATCACACTGAAATCTGATCACATTCAGAATTTTTTTTTTTAAGATCAAGAAGCAGCATATCGCCCTAGCTGGTTTGGCTCAGCGGTCAGAGCGTCGGCCTGCGGTCTGGAGAGACCCGGGTTTGGTTCCTGCTAAGGGCACGTACCTCGGTTCAGTTTGTCCCCAGCCCTGGCAACCACTCAATGTGTCCCCTTCATGTGGATGTTTCTCTCTCTCTCCCTCTTCCTCTCTCCCCCTCCCACTCTATCTGAACAAAATATTGAAAAAATGTCCTCGGGTGAGGATAAAAAAAAAAAAGCATATCATTGTCCACCAACTCCACTCTGAATAAACAGTGTGGATGGTAATGTAAGCACCATCTGCATACACAGCTGGTGCTTCATTGAGCCTACCTTGTTTCCCAGAACAAAGGGAACTTTGCCATAAATATAAATCTAAGTCTTTAGGAGATAGATATAACACTAGCCTTGACATTACTTTCTTTTTTTTTTTACCCGTCTTTCTTACTAAGACTCTAAGAAATTCCCTAGGTCTTATCTTACGCAGGGTCACGGGGGTTCAGAAGAAGGAGGACTAACATCTGGTCAGGGGATGGGGAATGTTCTATTTAAGGGGTGGCATTCAAACCAGACCCCTAAAGACAAGAGAGATAGGCAGCAGTTAATAGGCAGTGTACCCTAGTTGGAAATAAAAGATTAGAAAAATCAATCAAGTTTAGAAAATTTGGCATTTAGAGAACTTGGAATGACCTCACTTCATTAAAGAATGTGTAAGTGTAGGAAGGTGGTGAGTAGACTTTTAAAAAAAGTATTCTAGAAACCAATTATAGAAAATTATTATAATGCTAAAGAATTTGGACATTAGCCCAAAGGACAAGAGTATTTCAACAACTCACCTGGGGTGTTTGTTAAAAATGGTTTCCTGAGTCCTATTTATGAATAAATAAATCAGAATATCTGCCAAGTGACCTCCAGAACGTGCATTTGTAGCTAGCCCCCCATGTGCTGTTTATCACACTAAAATTTGAGAACGACTGCAATTGGTGGTAGGCAACTATTAAATGGCTCTTAAATTTTTTGAGCAATGGAATAACCAAGTTATGCCTATACCTTGGCATGATTAATCATGATTAATCTAACAACAATAGGTGGTGTGGATATAATAAAGGAGAAATTATAGGCAAGGCCAGAGGTAGACTTAGGAGGCTGATGCAAAGTCAAGGCAAGAAACAATAGATGGGTAAGAGTGGATACAAAGTGGTCTATTTTGTCATGTATTTTACATGACAAAAGTAAGAGTATAGGATCTGATAACAATCATACACAAGAGGATGAAAAAAAGGCAAGCAACTAGGAACACTAAGCTTGCAAGCCTAAGTAGTTTAGCGTTAATTAGAAGTACTGTAGTCATAAGGAAAAATTTGTTGGGATTTAACCTGAAGTACATGATGGATTAAGACTAGAACATGTTGCGTTTGAGATTCTGGTAGGACACCCAGAGCAAGACATTCAACTGGCAGTTTGAAATGTAAACAAGTCCAAGAGGAAAGTAAGAGCTCAAAATACAGATTAAATATGTATCTGGATAGAGATGATAGCTGAAGCAATCTGGGTGGATAGCACTTGGCTGTTGTCTAGCCAACACAGGCCCTAGGGGGAACACACACAGCAAGTTTAATGAGAATTTGAAGTTATAAATTGAAATTGTATTACTAATGATATCATTTCTTGCATTGTTAAGTTTATGCGAGTTTACATTATGATCTGTAACTAAAATTACATCTCTGGGCCCTCTACATAAATTTATTTTAAAACTAAAACAGCCCTCATAATGTAATTATAATGAATATTATAATAATTTTCACTGTAGAATCAAGTAGAGAAACAGTCAAAAAAAGTGTCACTTGAGACATTTTGATCCTTACTATTTATAGTACCTTGTGTTCATCTTTGCGATTTTTTTTTCTGCAATAGTCTCGATTTTCTTCATATACTGTTCATCAGTCCTAAACTTTTTGAATAACTTCATTTTGACCATCTATCTTATGCTTGATGGTGTGGCTATGTATACATTCTAAGTTCAAAATCATTTTATCTCAGATTTGTCTTATCCCACTCAGTACTGTCAATGAGCTGTCTGAGGCTGTTTCTCGTTCCTTTGTAAGGATCTCATTCTATTTGTCTGAAAGCTTTTAGGATTTCCTTTTTATTCTTAGACGTTCAGAAAGCATTATCAAAATGTTTCTAAATGTACCTTTTTAAATTTTTTTCTTCTTGGCTCTTAGGGGATTCTTTCGATGTAAAGTCTCTTTCTTCAGCTCAAGAAAACTGTCTTCTATTATTTCTTTTCTCCTTCCCACTGTCCCTGTTCTGTCCTTAATACCTATGAATGTTGTACCCACTAAATCTACTGTGTCCCTCAACTTTTTCAACTCTTTAATTTCTCTCTTTCTTTCAGATTGCCAATTGATTTTTCACCATGTCCTTTCTAGTATTTAGCATGCCTACTGAATATTTAAATTTCTAAAAACTGTCTTATCCCATGAGCTTCTTTTTTTGTTTTTGGTTGTTGCTGCTTTTGTTTTTGTTTTGTTTTGTTTTTATCAATAGTCATGCTTATTTTATGGATCAAATTTCTTCTTTTGTACTTCTAAAGACAGTAATTAAAATTTTTATTGTTTACATTTTTTGTTGTTGTTGTTACATTTTCTTCTCTTACCTGAATTGTTTCTGTCGTTTTCAGTATGGTTGTATGCCAATTCACTGTGATCTTTTTCATTCTATTTCTTTTCTCCCAGTGTGAGTTTCCTCTGCAGTGTGGTGTTCTTTCATCTGAAGGGGAGAATGGGTTTGAGGTAAGGGCATGACCCTTGTCAATAGGCAGGCTTCCCGATGGGGTAGAAAGCCTGGGAACCAGCCAACATGCAGCCAAGGCTGCCTTTTGACAAAATAAGGATACAAAGTATTTTAACATTTTATACCCATGGATGCAGCTGCCTATCCTTTTAATTTTCCTCTTCATCTATTTTTGAGGACTCAAGTTCTGTTCTACTTCTTTCTCAGGATCCAATATCCAAACCAGGAATCTTTTCATGGATGTACTCCAATTCATTGCAAAAAAATGGTGCATAGTCTATTCTCTTGAACTCAAAATCTCTGAATTAGTTTCTTAAACTTTTAGCTAGCAGGCACAATTAACGTTAAATAATATTGAGAAACTGTGCTTTGCATTTAATAGAAACAACAAAATTATCTTGCTGCTGCTGCTGCTGATGATGATGATGAAGAAACTTTAGAGTAGTTTTGGGTTTACAGAAAAATTAAGGGGAAAGTACAGAAAATCCCCATATGCTTCCTCCCCTCCTTACATATCACAGTTTCCTCCCTATTAATATCTTGCATTAGTGTGGTACACTTTTTACAACTGATAAGCCATTACCTTTTTATTGAGGTATAATTGACATATAACATTATATTACTTTTAGGTGTACAATATTTATATGTTGCAAAATGATCACTACAACAAGTCTAGTTAACATCTGGCATGATACATAGCACAACATTTTTTTTCTTGTGATGAGAACTTTTAAGATTTACCCTGTTAGTAACTTTCAAGTATGCAATACAGTATTATTAACTATAGTTACCACACTGTACATTACATTCACAGGACCTACTTATTCTATAACTGGAAGTTTAGCTTATACCTTTTGAACAACTTCACCCATTCTGCCTATCCCTCCCCCCACCTCTGGCAACCATTCATTTGTTCTCTGCATGTATGAATTCAATATTTTTAGATCCTATATACAAGTAAGATCATACAATATTTGTCTTTCTCTGACTGACTGGTTTCACTTAGCATAAAAATTACCTGTCTTAATAGTAGCAACAAAAACAAAGTTAAATAGCATATGGTAAATTGCTAAATTATTTACCTCTTTGCCATGTGACTTTGCAGTTCCTCTTACCAAAGAAATAGAGGGAATCTTTTTCCGCCGTAAATCTGGACTTCCTTTTGGTGACTTGCTTTGGCTGATAGAACAAGTCTAGGGGTTTTGGAAATCTTGAATGTTATGGCTTGCTTGCTTTTTTCCTTTTGCCACTGTCTAAAGAACAGGCCTGGGATATCCTGCTTGAGGCGGAAGGACATATAGGATCGTCAAGTTGTCCCAGTCCCCCAGGCAAAGCAATCCTAGACCAGATAACGGACATCTGACCCTCAATGAGCCCAGCCAAGATCAGCAGTCTCCTAGCCAACCAGCAACTGATCACAGACAAGCCAAACCAGTCAAGATCATTCAATCCAAGTCCAAATTAGCCAATCCCTATTGACTCACATAAGCTAACTCTCTTGAGATTCTGACCATGTGTCCCTAAGGAAGAGTATTGAGAGTATTCTTGCCTCTTGGGACTGTTGCCAAGAAGAGCCATCCCAAGAAGAACATCTTTGGACTTTGACCAAAACTTAACTTTTACTGTATTGTTACTGATATTTTTGGGTTGTTTGTTATCGAAGATAGTCTATCCTAAATAATATAATATCTAAGACCAAAATGACATTCCACAATCTTCTGCCTGTTTACTTAAATTTAAAGACAAAGCACTCAGAACTTTATTATTCCTTGACTTACATATATTCATCATGCCTCCTGACTTAGACCTTTCAATACATACCACTTTTTATATACAATATACAGATTATATAGACCTGTTATGTATTATAGATATATATTCTTTGAAAATAATTTATATATTGAATTTATATTGTATAATAATAACATGATAATAATGAGTCCTTGAGCTTATACATTCTAATGTACTACTTACTCACAACAAAGAGTTAGTAAATCATTAAGTCCTTGGGCTCAAAGGGCTTGGTAAGTGCCAAGTTAAGACAAGAGAGTGGGTGTAATAGGCTAAATCAAAAATAAATTCTCAGAGCAAGCAGTTATTGTGCACTTACTAGATGCCTAGTCATAAGATGGATAATTGGAAGATTCCAAGAACTGTAAGAAATAGTCCTTACATTGGCATATGTATAAGTTATTTTCCTAATTAAATTTAAGCTTCTTATAGGAGGTAACTGAGTTTTATATATCATTTGTATTTTGTAGTTCTAATCATCAGGCAATAAACCACTAAGCCGCCGTGTCTGTACACAGTTTTCCATTAGAAATGATATGTTCTACAAGTCCTGCAACGGCATTCATTACTTGTAAATCAACTACAAATAATCACAACACATTTGAAATTTAAACTAGGACTACTCATGAAAAAGAAAGTAAATTGAAAAGAAATGTGGACAGCAATTTATAACATGCAAAATTCAAAATCAAGGTAAGTAGAAAAAAGAATCTGTTACTCTTTTGACATTGGTCTTGGGGATTATTTCTTGGATGACACCAAAAGTGTATGTAATAAAAGCAAAAATAAGGACATCTGTAATACTTTCAACAATAAAAAATAAATAAAAATTAAAAAGTGGGGCTACATCAAACTAAAAAGCTTCTGTATATCTATGGAAATAATCAACAGAACAAAAAATGAGAGAAAATATTTTCAAACCACATAACTGATAAAAGGTTAATATTCAAAATATATAAGAAACTCACACAACAAAACAAAACAAACAAAAAATGGGCGAAGAACTTGAACAGACATTTCTTCAAAGAAGACATAACAGGTATGTGAGAAGGCCAACAGGTATGTGAAAAGATGCTCAACATCATAAATTATCAAGGAAATACAAATCAAAGCCATAATGGACTATCACCTGTCATCTGTTGGGATGGCTATTACCAAAACACAAAAGACAAATGTTGACAAGAATGTGGAGACATTGGAACTCTTATGCACCATTAGTAGGAAGGTAAAATGGTGTAGTTCCTATGAAAAACAATCTAAAAGTTCCTCAAAAAACTTTAAAAATAGAACTAGCATATGATCCAGCTATCCCACCTCAAGAAATATTTCCTAAGGAAATAAAATTAGGATCTCAAAAAGATATCTGCATTACTATGTTCACTACAGCATTATTTACAATAACCAAGATATGGAAACACACAAATGTCCATCAATGGATAAATGGCTAAAAAAGATATGGTATATACAATCAGTGGAATATTACTCAACTTTTAAAAAGAAGGAATCTTGCCATATATGACAAGATGGATGAACCTAGAAGACATTACACTAAGTGAAATAAGCCATCACAAAAGGTCACATTTTGCATGATTCCATTTGTATGAAGTATATAAAATAGTCAATTCATAAAATCAAAGATTGCAATGGTAGTTGCCAAGGTCTTAGGGGTGGTGAAAATAGGGAGTTGCTGTTCAATTTACCAATAATATATCAGATTCCTCTTTTTTCCCTTTATCCACCCAGTCTCACTTTATCTGTCTAGATTGTCAGACCATGCTCTACTGCCCATCCATGCCATTTTAATTGTGCGAGATAAATCCACTCTAGAGATCTGCTGTACAACATAATGCCTATAGTTAACAATACTATATTGCACACTTAAAATCTGTTAATAGAATAGATCTCACGTTAAATGCTCAGAAACAAAATCTACCAACCAAACTAACCTGAGTGTCTTTATCAACCTATGGTCATTCAAACTTAAGAAGCAGGGCTCTGCAACACCTGATAAGTGCTAGGTTATTCAATTATCAAATAAATTCATTATAACCTATTGTCATGTGGCAGAGAAAAATATGAAGAAAAAAGAAATGTAAAAGACTGTAAAAGTTATCACAGAGCCAAAGGAGAATATATTTGCAAGGGGTGTGAAAACAACATTAAGACAAAGAGTGAGAAGATAAAGGGAATAATACTCGAAAGTTGTTTTTTTTTTTTCTTTATTAATTTTTAGAGAGAGAGGGAGAGGGAGAGAGAAACACCGATGACAGAGAACATTAACTGGCTGCCTCCTGCATGCCCCCCCATTGGGGATTGGGCCCATAACCAGGGCATGTGCCAACAGGGAATCAAACAGGTGACCTCGTAGTTCATGGGTTGATGCTCAACCACTGAGCCACACTGGCTGGGCGAAAGTTGTTTTTACATCGCAAATAATGGAAACTCAGTGTGAAGTATATGGAACTCTCTATTATCATTATAACTTTCCTGTAAGTCAAAATTGTTCTAAAACTTTAAAAGTTCATTGAAAAACAGTTAATAGAACACTTTTTCAAATTCCATCAGGCTGTAGTACAAAAATCTCATATTCTTCTCACATGAAAGTTTGATTCCTTACACTAAACAAAGAATTCTGAGCTTCTGAGAGACTGAAGGCAAAGATAATATGGCATGGCTAGTGGAGGGGAAAAAAAATCAGTTGTATCGTAATCTCCAGTTGTAGAAACAAGGCCAGTAGAATATTTTTTCCTTTATGTATTATGTATGAATTTTATTTCCACTGCCACTCTCTCTCTTTGTGCTCGTTACCTTTACAGCACATATATTTGGTAGACTATTGGTAATTAACTTTACCATTTAACCCTTGAATTGCAGAATATTGAGATAGGGTCATTATAGCACTCAAGGAAGAATTGAGATTACCTAATTAGATTGTGGTCCTTTGGATAGAAAGAATGTATTTGTAATATTATGAATAATCACATTGATTGGAATAATCTTGTAAGTTTACAACTGGAAAGATGGATTTATGTACCTATCAGAGAGCCAGAGTTTGGTTGTGTGCTATACTTGAGCTTTAGGAGCTGGCTATTTCCTTGATTTCCAAAAGCTCAAATTTTGGTCCTTCTGCCACTGAGTATGGTCTTGGCAGTTTTAAGTACTCAATGCAAGGTCCTGAGAATTGAAGGTAAGACCAATGGAGTAGCAGCAATGGCAGTAGTGGTGGTGGGATTACTAGAAGCATCAGTAGTAGCAAAGATTTTACTGTTTAGCTCTGTGTCTAGAACAGGTATTATTCTTTATTGAGCCTAGTTCACCGGGTTTCTTATTTCTAAGCACTACTACGTACCTACTACCCTTATAATGAACTCCTCTTCTGTAATATGAGAGTTGTTTCTTTTATTTTAATTTTTTAAATATGTTTTATTGATTTTTTAGAGAAAGAGGAATGGAGAGATAGAAACATTGATGTGAGAGAGAAACATCAATAGGCTGCCTCCTGCACACGCCTACTGGGCATGTGCCCTGACCAGTAATCAAACCGGGATCTCTCAGTCCATGGGATGACACTCAATCCACTGAGACACACCAGCTAAGCAATTCTATTTCTTTTAACAAAAAATCTATTTAATGCCGTAATGAACATAGGTGTGCATATATTGCAGTGTTATTTACAATAGCCAAGATCTGGAAGCAGCCCAAGTGTCCATCAGTAGATGAGTGGATAAAACAGCTATGGTACATTTACACAATGGAATACTATAGGGCTAAAAAGAAAAATTTTACCCATTGTGACAGTTTGGATGGACTTGGAGAACATTATGCTAAGCGAAATAAGACAGAGAGAGACAAGTACCATATGATTTCACTCAAATGTGGAATTTAATGAATTGAATAAGCAAAATATAGACAGATTCATAGAGAGCAGGTAGACAGCTCTGGTGAAGGGGGTGTTGCGGGGGAGGGTGGAGGGATTGAGTGAAAAAGAAAAAAAGAAGAGAAAGAACTCATGGACACAGACAATAGTATGGTGATTGCAGGGTAGAGGGGTGGGGGGAGGTGGAAAAGGGTATGGGGGATAAATGTTGATGGAAAAAAATAAAATAATTAAAAATCTATTTATGGTGTTGTAAAATAAATAAAAATAGATGCTAGATACAGATGTATATTATATATGTCTCATATAGACATATTTGGAATATATATTTATTTATATATGTGGAAAACGAATGTATGTCATGCACAAAAAACAAGGGAAGTTATTTAGCTTCAATATGGGTTTCACATGTGAATGTCTTGCAATTTTCCCTAAACCCTAAATATATGTAGTTATCATATAGCAGATTCTTCTTTCTCACCTTTATCCACCCAGTCTCACTTACCTGTCTGGATTGTCAGCCAATGCTCTACAGACTATCCATGCCAGAAAGATATTTGCAGATGTATAAGTTGTCAGTTCTTGGTGGCCCCGAGTATTTGGCTTTGCTCTAAAGTTTCTATTTTCAGTTGATAATATAGCACTTCATCTTGCTTCCTTTCTGAATTGAAGGGGGGAAAGACCTGGATAACCGTCAGTTGACATGAACTGTGCTGTATGACAAATTAGCTCTCAGGAAAATTAATGATCCTTTCACACATAAGCAATTTGATTCCCCTTCTTCTACAATGATAAAATGAATGAACAATGATATTTTCGAAGCAGTAGTTGACAAATGCATCTGTGTTTGCAGGACAGACTTTAAAACTTATTCACAAGGTCTCACTTCCAATGTTACTACCCATATCAACATAGATTAATCAAGGTTCAACTAGTTTAATATTCACAGAGAAGACAGTTCATTCACACATACCATGGTAGTTGTTAACACCAAGAAATTAGTTACAACTAATTTCTTATATCTAAAACAAGCATCATGTTCTCTCAAATAAAGCATGGCACTGGTAGTAGTCTCCTTCAAAATGTCCCAATAAAAATACAAAAAAATAGTGAAAATAATGCATCAGCATCTTTTTTTTCTAATATTTCTTTCCTTTCCTTTCTTTTCCTTTCCTTCCTCCTTTATATTAGTTAAAGAATTATATTGTTTACTTAAATTATGTATATGATAGCCCTGGCCAGTTTGGCTCAGCGGTTAGAGCATCGGCCCACAGACCGGAAAGTCCTGGGTTCGGTTCCCGCTAAAGGCATGTACCTCGGTTGCCGTTTGTCCCTGGCCTCAGTTGGGGTCATGTGGGTGGCGACCAGTCGATATGTCTCTCTCACATCAATGTTTCTCTCTCTGTCTTCCCCCCTTCTCCCTCCCACTCTATCTGAAGATAAATGCAAAAAAGAAAAGTCATTATCTTCCTCTAAAAGGGAAAGATTTTTAAAAATTTTTTTAAAATTATGTATATTATAGGCTGCATTTCTTATGAAATTTTGTTTCAAGGTATTAAAGGAATATAATATTTTGTTATAAAAATGGGGCTTTTGGTGTTATGAACACTTAAGGTCTACTCTCTCAGCAAATTTCAATACAGTATGGCTAACCATAGCCACCATACTTAGTCACACCGATGTTAGATCTCCAGGAGGAAGGAAAGGACAGAAAGGCAGGAGTGGGGAGACCGTGTGTGCTCCACAAAAGCCTAAAATGTTTACCATCTGGCCTTTTGTTTCTGATCTTTTAATAAAGCAGTTTCTAGACTACTTTTACTTCTACTCAGAACCTTCCTTTTATAATCTTGGAACTTCCTGAAGCCATTTATTTTCATTTAGTCTGGTACATTTCATGAAAGTTATGGGTAAAAATTGATAGAACATACTCTGTCCTGAGAGATAAGATATTTTCATTAATGTAAAATCTTAGAGAAATAATTGAAAAAAGATGGTGGTAGGCAGGACCAGAGGGAATGTGTGTGAGTGAGCAAGTGTGAGAGAGACTGAGTGGACATGAGTGTGGATGAGTAACCTCAAGCAGTGCAGAAACACGGGGCAGGAGATTCCTGTGCTGTGGACAGAGCAGCCGGCTACCACGGTAAGCAGCTCATCAGGGCGCTTCTGCCTGTGCGGCCAGGAGGCCCCGCCATTTTGGAAGATCCAGGTCTTCCCTGGGAGGAGGCAATGGGAGCAGCGAGGGCCCAGCAACCTGAGCCCACCAGTGCTCCTTGCACCTTCGGATCAGTGGACCCTGTTATGTCAACACAGACCAGTGCACAGTAACGGCGCTGTCAAGGTGCCTGCTGTGGAAGCCACAAGTGACCGGGAGCCCACCACCATCCCTCACAGCAGCAGCCTGTTCAGAGCCAAGACACACATCCAGCAACAGAGGCTCGGGAGCAGACATCCATCCCCAGACAGCAGCTGCACAAAACGGCAGCTAAGACCCATCCCCAACAGCATCAGAGGAGGCTGAGCCCCACAAGGCAGCAGCACCCTCCAGCCACCAGCGGCCGGACCAGGGCTCTAGGCAGCCCTCACGATACAACTGCCTGTGGCACCAGCAGAGACTGTGATTTCAGTGGAGCCTGTGCGATATAGCTGCCTGTGGCACAGGAGGGGCCCATGACTCCAGTGGGGTCCACGCGATCCAGGAGCAGCACCTACCAGGAAAAAACCAATACCAGCCGCCAGTAGTGAATCCTCCAGAACCCACAGCAGGCAAGAGGTGCCACATACCAGAACAGTCTGGGAGACACAGCAGCCTTATTTGATACACAATGACCTGCCTACACATCCCGACATCCCTCACTGGGTCTAGAACTACCAAACGGCTAAAGTGGGGAGACAAAGAAACAACACCCAAATGAAAGAAAAGGAGGAATCACCAGAAAAAGAACTACATGAAATGGAAGAAAGCAACTGGTCAGATAAAGAATTCAAAGAAATGATTTTAAGGGTGCTCAAAAAATTCAGTAAGAACTACAAGTGAGAATTATAGAGAGCTCAGCGGGAACTACACCAGCTTTGAAAAAGAGGTAGAAGCTATGGATAAAAATCAAGAGAAAATAAAGAATGCCATAGCTGATACAAAAAAATACTTTAGAAGAATTCAGTAGTCGATTAGAAGAAGCTGAAGACCAAATCAGTGAGTTAGAAGACAAGGTAGAAAAAACTCCCAAATAGGGCAGCAAATGGGGACAAATATTAAAAAACAGGAGAGTTTAAGGGAGCTTTGAGACAATACAAAGTGTAACAACATTCACATCATAGGGGTACCAGAAGGAGAAGAATCAGAGAAAGGAATAGAGAACCTGTCTGAAGAAATAATGACAGAAAACTTTCCTAATTTGGCTAAGGAAAGTCACACAAGTCCAGGAAACGCACAGAGTCCCAAGCAATATGAAATCATAAAGACCCACAGCAAGACACATCATAATTAAAATGGCAAACATTAAAGACAAAGAATCCTAAAGCAAGCAAGAGACAGAAAGTTACCTACAAGGGAGCTCCCATTAGCCTGTCAGCTGATTTCTCAATAGAAACAATGCAGGCCAGAAGGGAGTGCCATGAAGTGTAAAAAGTAATGTAAGGCAAGGGTCTGAATCCAAAACTACTCTATCCAGCAAGGTTATCATTTAAAATTGAAAGTGAAATAAACAGCTTCACAGACAAAAACAAAAAACAAAAACTAAAGGAATTGATCACCACCAAAACAGCACTGCAAGAAATGCTAAAGGGACTGCTGCAAGAAGAAGAAATATATAAAGAGGGAGGAACACAGGCATAAAATAAAAATGTCAACTAATAAGTACCTTATCAATAATAACCTTAAATGTAAATGGTTTAAATGCTCCAATCAAAAGAGACAGAGTAGCTGATTAGATAAGAAAACATGACCCATATATATGGTGTCTACAAGAGACCCGCCTCACAACAAAAGATTCACACAGAATTAAAGTGAAGGGATGAAAAAAAATTTTCTAGGCAAATGGAAATAAAAAAAAAGGCTGGAGTAGCAATACTCATATCTGATAAGATAGACTTGAAAACGAGGGCCATAATAAGAGACAAAGAAGTTCACTATATAATATTAAAAGTAACAATCCAACAAAAGGATATAACCCTGTAAAGATATATGCAGCAAGCACAGGAGCACCAAAATATATTTTAAAACTTCTGGAGGACTTCAAAGGATGGATCAGATCCAATGACACCACTGGTTAGATCTTCTACACAAAAAATTAACAGGGAAACACAGTCCTTAAATGACTGACAAGATCAGCTGGACTTCACTGATATTTACACAACATTTTACCCCAACACTGCAGAATATACATTCTTCCCAAATGTACATGGAGCATTCTCAAAGACAGACCACATGTTAGGACACAAAGTGAATCTCTACAAATTCAAGAAGACTGAAATCATATCAAGCATCTTCTCAAATCACAATGGCATAAATCTAGAAAGCAATTACAGCAAAAACACTCAAACACATGGGGGCTAAATAGCATGTTATTAAACAACAAATAGGTTACCAAGGAGATCAAGGAAGGAATAAAAATCTTCCTGAAAACCAATGAAAATGAACACACAGCAACACAAAATCGATGGGACACAGCTAAAGCAGTCCTGAGAGGGAAGTTCATAGCACTACAGGCCTACCTCAAGAAATAAGAAAAATTCCTAGTTGACTTTCTAACCCGATAACTCAAACAACTAGAGGGTAAACAAAAAGAAAAGCCGAGAGCAAGTAGAAAGAAATAGTGAAGGTCAGAGCAAAAATAACATAGAAACTGTAAAAACAATTCAAAAGATCAATGAAACCAAGAGCTGGTTCTTTGAAAAGATAAAAAAGATTGATGGACCCTTAGCCAGATTCATCAAGAAAGAAAAAGAGAAGACCCAAATAAACAAAATCAGAAATGAAGGAAGAGAAGTAACAACTAACACCACAGAAATACATAAGATCATTAAAACATATTATTTATTTTTTATTTTTGTGGTGGTACATGCCCCTAGCATTAACCGAAGCCGGGACTCTCTGGTCCACAGGCTGACGCTCAACCACTGAACCAAACTGGCCAGAGCTATATCATTAAAACATATTATGAACAATTATATGCCAACAAATAGGATAATCTAGGCAAACTGAACAAATTTCTAGAAACATAGTCTCCCAAAACTAAACCGGGAAGAGACAGAAAACTTGAATAGTCCAATAACAACTAAGAAAATTGAAGATGTAATCAAGAAACTCCAAGCAAACAAAAGCCCAGGCCCAGGCGGCTTCAAGGGGGAGTTTTACTGAACATTCAAAGATGATCCAATACCCATTCTCCTCAAACTATTCCAAAAAATCCAAGATGACGAAAGACTTCCAAACACATTTTATGAGGCCAACATAATTCTAATTCCAAAACCAGATAAAGGCACTGCAAAGAAAAAAAACTACAGGCCAATATCCCTGATGAACACAGATGCCAAAATCCTTAACAAAATACTAGCAAATCAGATTCAGCAATACATCAAAAAAACTATTCATCATGACCAAGTGGGATTCATCCCAAGGATGCAAGGCTGGTACAATATTCGCAAATCAATAAAGGTGATACA